TCACAGAAGTATAAATCAAGAGGCCGTGCACAGCCATTCATTCATTCCTGCGGAAGCCATGCGGAAGCGCTGTCTCAGCGTCTTGTGCGAGGAGGTCTGCAGCAGGCCCGAAGTCGAAGTGGGCGAGAGTGACGAAGTGTAGCCATAGCGATAGGGTAGAGGCAGCCAGCGCTGCCATAGCTGTAGCTTAGGGCGAAGTGTGTGTGTTGTGTGTGTTCGGAGTGTCGCGTGTGGGATATCCAGGGTGGTCCAGTGTGTGTGAACAGTGGGTTGTTGGGCGCTGAATAGCCATAGCCAGTGGAAGTGAACTCTTACCTGGAAGCCATATCTCTGAGGATTGTGTGGGCGCATGTCGCCAGTTTGCTGTGCTGCTGTTTACATCCATGAAAAGTGTGAATGAGACGAGTCTGATTGCAGCAGATATATATATCATCAAACAGAACTGCCCGGTAAACAGTCAGCAGAGAGGAAGAAGAGGACAAAAAACGAGGGGCTGAGACAAAATGTTTCGTTTGAGTTTCACCGACTCATCAAGAGGCTAAACCCTCAACAATCTGCGCAATCCCCTAACCGATTACACTATGAGTGATAATCCATGCCCAACTACTATATATATCGTCAAATAGAACTGCCCGGTAAACCGTAGGCAGAGAGGGAGAAGAGGACAACAAACGAGGGGCTGTGACAAACTGTTTCGTCGGCGTTATATACATATCGTCAAATAGAACTGCCCGGTAAACCGTGGGCAGAGAGGGAGAAGAGGACAACAAACGAGGGGCTGTGACAAACTGTTTCGTCGGAGTTTCACCGACTCATCAGGAGGCTGAACCCTCAACAGTCTATATATATATATATCGTCATATATATATATATATTATCACAGAACTATTGACTAAGAGCATGAGCACGTGAAGTAGAAGAAGAAATAAGATGAGCAAAGAAAGTGAAAATGAAAGGACAGACAGGCAAAGAGACAGACAAACCAGAATGTTTTCACAGTATTATTATTTCTTTCAGTGTTTTACAAAAAATATTTACACTGAATCAAAGGATAAAAATAAAAAACAAAGACACGTTGAAATCATTCAGTTTCTCAGTCTTCTTAACGCCTCCTACACTGTGCCTCTAACGTACAAGGCTTGCCACGTTGATGAAGTTGAGCGCGAGCTGCCCCCATCCCCGTATGCCATAACAGCCCACTCGCACGCTATGGGAAAGAGGCAGAGTGAAGGAAGAGGTGTCAAACACAAGGGAGAGAGGAGCAGAAAAGGAAAATCGATAGGCGGAGGGAGAAAAATAAAAATAAAATAAGGGTGACACAAACATCCTTCTTTTACTGCATTCTTCTTTCTTTCACAGTTTCGGGCAGCTTTGTTTCACGCTACAAATATATACATATCGTCAAACAGATATATCATCAAGCAAAACTACCCAATAAACCGTAGGCAGAGAGGGAGAAGAGGACAAGAAACGAGGGGCTGTGACAAACTGTTCCATTGGAGTTTCACTGACTCATCATATATATACATAGTCAAACAGAGCTGCCCGGGAAACCGTAGGAAGAGAGGGAGAAAAGGACCACAAACGAGGGACTGTGAAAAACTGCTTCCTCAGAGTTTCACCGACTCATCACAAGGGTGAACCCTCAACAGTCTGCAGAATGCCTTAACTGATTACACTGTAAGTGAGGACTGCCCAACAACTAATACCCTGAGATGGGCAACAATCACTGCCCTCAAGTTACCTGTGACGAAAATAAAAGCAGACACACACCCACACCAGCTAGAAAACTCTGCAGACTTTCAGTTCACACCCCATCACAAGCAAACAAAACACCCACGAAACAAAGAAAGGTCTATCACAGCCAAAAAATACACTCCAAACACGCCACTGGCACTAGAGGCACATGGCCGCGTAATCATGCTAGCGCAGTCATGGTGTATTTAATCAAACAAAGCTGCCCGGGAAAACCCTAGGCAAAGAGGGAGAAGCCAACAACCCTATAAAGAGAGAGAGAGAGAGAGTCGAACAAAGTTGCCCGGTAAACCACAAGCAGAGAGGGAGAAGAGGACAACAAACGAGGGGTTGTGACAAACTGTTTCGTCGGAGTTTCACTGACTCATCAGGAGGCTGAATCCCCTACCTGATTACGCTATAAGCGATAAGTGGACGAGTATCAAGGACTACCAGACAATTGATACCCTGAGGTGGGCACCAACAACTGCCCTCAAGGTACCTTTGACGAAAATCAAAGCAGACTATCACTCACCCACACCAGATGGAAAACTCTACAGACTGTCGGTTCACACCCCATCACAAGCCTGCAAAACACCCATGAAACAAAGAAACGTCTGTCACAGCTTAAAAAATGCACTCTAGACACGCCGATGCCACTAAAGGCAAAGCATGGCTGCGTAGTGACGGCCCCAACGACTACCACTCGACCAGACCGAAGAAAACCCTAGCAGGGTTCTAGCAAAGTTGTGATATATATAGTCAAACAGAGCTGCCCGGGATACCGTAGGCAGAGAGGGAGAGAAGGACAACAAATGAGGGCCTCTGACAAACTGTTTCAATGGAGTTTCACAGGGCTACACCCTCAACAGTCTGCAGAATCCCCTAACAGATTACACTATATGAAACACTGCTTGAAGTATATTTCTGGTTGAGCATCAACGACTGCCCGACAACTTATACCCTTAGAACCAACCGCTGCTTGAAGTATATTTTTTGGTTGTGACAGACCTTTCTTTGTGTCGCGGATGTTTTGCTTGCTTGTGATGGGGTATGAACCGACAGTCTGTAGAGTTTTCCATCTGAAGTGGGTGAGTAATAATCTGCTTTGATTTTCGTCACAGGTACCTTGAGGGTAGTGGTTGGTGCCCACCTCAGCGTATCAGTTGTGGGGCAGTCATTGATGCTAAACCACAGCCGGGGTTAAGGTGGATTATCACTCACACTGTAATCAGTTAAGGGATTCTGCAGACTGTTGAGGGTTCAGCGTCCTGATTGGTCAGTGAAACTCCGATGAAACAGTTTGTCGCAGCCCCTCGTTTGTTGTCCTCTTCTCCCTCTTTGCCTATTGTTTACCGGGCAGCTTTGTTGGACAATACATACCACAACTTACAGTCTGGACAGAAGGGGTTTGTTGCGCTGTAAGTTATTACTTCCCTCCTCTCTCTCTCTCTCTCTCTCTCTCTCTCTCTCTCTCTCTCTCTCTCTCTCTCTCACACACATACGCACACACACACACACACACACACACACACACAAAGAGTGAGGCATTTGATTCGACCTGTCGAAGCATATGAC